AAAAAAAAAAAAAAAAAGACAATGACTAGCAGCCCCCATCATACCCTAACTCCATACTTACATAAACATGTAAAAAAATTACTAAACATCACCTAGACTCACAAACAATCACTGTCAGAATCTAGGAACAAATGTTCAATAACTCTAAGGTAGACAGAGTCAGCCTAAGAAACACGGAACTGCCTGTGCTTTGCCTCATGAAAGATCTCAGAGAAAGAATAGCTCTACTAACCTAAACAAAGAAGACAGGTTTTCATATTTTTAAACCACTGGACCAGACTCTGGGCTTGTTTCAACTAGAAGACTAGGATCTGTACCTCTGTTCTACAATGCTGCCTTTTAAGAACGCCTCCATCTTTCAAATCCAATTTCAAAGCTTGTAGCTCCCAAATGTCAGAGGAGCAGACAGTAGGGGGAGCCCTTGTAGTGAGGCACCCTGGGAAGTACACGCCCCAAAGCAATACTGATAAAAATGGGGAGGGAAGAACCTTGGGAGCAGGGCATGAAGGGGACAGTAGGAGGTAAAAGAAATTCCCATGTCAGCCTCGCACACAGGCACCAGCTATGTGCCTAACAGGTACCACAACAGAAACTATAGCTCTGAGAACGCAATTCTACCAGAAGGACAAGGAATGAAGCCAGAAGCAATCTATACATCCCTGTCATTTGACTCTACTAGCTCTAGAGATATTTCCTAATATGAAGATAAATTAGCAGTGGGGAACAATAACCTGGTGCCTATGAGAAACAACATACCACAAGGGTAATGGAAAATTATTCTGAAGAGAAAAAAAAATTTACCTCTAAAAATAATTTACTATGAAACCCACAAGAATTCCTCCACATGAAAACTATATGAAACAAGGGCACAAAGTCATATATAACTGGCTGGAATGAAAAAAACAATGGAATAAAATGGACAAGGAAAGAGGGAACATGAGAAATGAAACATATAATAAAATTAAAATAAACATTACAGGCCAAAGGGAACAGAGATGAAAGTGTCAAAAGTCTTTTTTTTTTTTAATGTTTGTTTATTTTGAGAGAGAGCGAGAGCTCAAGTGTGCGTGCAAGCAGGGGAGGGGCAGAGAGTGAGAGCGAGAATCCCAAGCAGGCTCTGCACTGTCAGCACAGAGCCCAATGTGGGGCTCCATCTCACAACTGTGAGATCATCACCTGAGCCAATATTGAGTTGGATGCTTAATGAACTAAGCCACTCAAGTGCCCCAAAAGTCTTTGTTTTTTAAAGTAGGCTCCACGCCCAATGTGGGGCTTGAACTCCAACCCCAAGATGAAGAGTCGCATGCTCTACCAACCAAGCCAGCCAGGTGCCCCATCAAAAGTCTTATCGGTAATTTACAGTACAAACTTGAGCAGGTATCCCAGAATGCAGAAGGAAAGAACAGTAAGATAGAAATAATAAAAGATGGTGACAACTACAGGGGAAAGGAAAAGGACAGCAGGCTAAGAATAAGTGTTTCTCAGGAGAATCCAGAGCAACTGGAACAGAAGCAATAAAAAGTGTAACTAAAGAAAAAAAAAAAAAACAAAAATAAACTGAACAGACAAAAAAGACTATGGGTTCCCTGTGTTGTAATGGGAGGAAGGAGATCAATGAAGAAATGACAGTATTGCTTTTAATATGAGAAAAAACACTTAAAATTATGAACATAATCTACAATATACTTCATAACTACAAATACACTATATAAAACAAATATACATAGCACAAATAACCAGAAAAGGTACAATCAAACGTTAATAAAAAGGTGAGCTGCTCCCCCTTGGGAAATAAGGGATACACACTGACCTCTGAGAGAGAGGATATGGATAGGGACTAACCAATCACCTGAAAGATGTTAGATTCTAAGCCAGATATACTGGGCTATATGAATATATTAAGGTATCTACAGCAAATGTTGAGTACAATTGCAGTAGACTGAACAAGGAAGAAGAGGGAATAAAAAAAGAGAGCTACAGTAGCAAATGCTCTCTCCAGCAGCATATGGGGAAGAAAAGCTTCAGCCAAAGGAATTTGAGTATTGTGACCTCAAGGCTGAGGGCATCCCTCATGTGGAGATGATATATGGATTGTAGTCAATGCACGTGACACATTCTGATCCCATAGGCAAAATCATTCCTATCGAAATTTGATGCCAGTAAACATTTATCTTACATTTTACTCATCTAACCTCCCTTGTTCTGATTCCACGGTCATGAAACAACCTTCTGATCGTGATTCTGTTCCCTATGTAATTAGGACCCAAGGGAGAGAATGGGCTGATCATAGCAACTGTATGCCTAGTCCATGAGATGGCAACTCATTATAAATTAATAAGTTGGATTACTGGGGGGAAAATATGCTAATTTAAAGGACTTTAAGTATTCAGGAGTTAGAAAAGCAATTTAAATTTACTGGTTAAAGTTACGGGCTTAGCAATCAGAGAAATATAAATTTAAATCCTGGCTCCGCCACCTGCCATGATCTCAGATGTAAAATGAAGATAATAATACTTGTCTTGCAGGCTCGTGTTAACTGTGACAATGCATACAAAGCACCTGGCTTAGTGTTTGATGCACAGTAGTGCCCAATAAATATGTGCTGAAAAACAAAATGAATATACATGATCAATAAGTGGTTCTTATTATTTAAACTTGGAATTTAGAGAAGCTCAGATCCAATGTTAGGGTGCTGCACAAAAATCAGGATTTTGCTCTTGCCTGGCCTTAAGCCTAGACTCTTTTTAGACTTTGATAAGATGTGTTTTCAAGTTTTCCATGCTACAAATGAAAAGTTGCCATTTTTATTAAGTAATTTTTAAAACTATCTCCAAAAATTTAGACAAAGATAAGGTAAAGGTAGAAAAGATTAAGCCAGAAAAAAGGTGGCACTAAAATGCACTGCGGTATAAGATTCTATAAATTTGCTATAAAGGTATAGAGGAAATTTGTTCTTAAATTTTCTAGCAGCCATCTAAAGAATCTGTGATCACTTAGGAGATTCACACTGTCTGTGAGATAAAATAAGGTAAGGGCCCAGGAGAAGCACAGCCATTCTTGTTAATAAACCATGAGAGAAATTCTTCTCATGGGTATTTGTTAAAGAGTGTTTCTTCTGAAATCTTTCAGTAAGCTAGTGACACAATGCCAGAACACAAAAACTAAAACGTAAACTCTGGACCAATTAAGGGAGGCTATTGTTTCTGAATTATAAAAGCAAAATAAAGTAAAACCAAAATCTCCTTTGAAGTGAATTTCTCCAATAAAGCAGTCACACAGCACAAACTCTGAGAATGCTGTTAGGTATACTTTGATGTGACACATTTTTCCTCAAAATAAAATAACACATCAACATGAAATACCTAAACACAGTGCCAAGGAAAAGAAATAAAAATCTTAAAAAAGGATCTGTTTTCGTTTTAAGATTTTTTTTTTTTGAGTCAAATGAAAAGCATATATTAAGAACTTCTTACTGGTGGAAGGAAAAGACAACCTTCTTGAATTAACAAGACCACATATTACTGTCTAGTTTAAATTACAATGGATCAAAAGCAGAAGGCAGCAATGTCCCATTTTATATTCTGAAAGAAATATGTAAGTTAGTATCTTTATTTTCCTATATAAAGTATGGTCTACATCTTACCACGTGATTCCACTTTCTTGATAATTGTATCTGGGTGTTCATCTAAGAAGAAATCTGGTAACAAAGGATGGCCTGAAAAATGACCCCAAAAATAATCAGGTTACTAAGACAACTTAAATATATTAAGACTCCTAACACCTGTTTAATGAACATTATATCTGTTTTTATTGTAATAATCATTCTTGTGCAATGGAAAAGACTCCCATGAGAACTGTTAAACTACTTGACTTTCACAAAGCTAAAATACTTTTCCCATAACCCAGTTATCCTCCTCTCCAATGGCAAACTTCATCACTAAGATCCAAACAGAGTCACCTGTTACATTAAGCTCCTAGCTGCCCTCCCAGGAGGCTCTGCCCCCTTCTCATCTATCCATGCAACCCTTCTGTCCTACATCCCTCCGAAGTACTCAGGACTCGTTTCTTACCTAGCCCCCTGAGAAAAGGGGGTTCCTTATTAAGAAACTTGTTTCCCATCTCTGTCTCTGTCTCTCCCTCTCAGAAGATTAAGAAAACTGGAGGTCAGGAAGGCATTGGTCTTTATTATATCCTAATACTTATCATAGTACGTATTCATCTTAAGCTCTCAACACTTGATAGGATTTTTTTTAATGTTTATTTATTTTTGAGAGAGGGAGCGTGAGTTGGGTAGGGACAGAGAGAGAGGGGGACAGAGGATCCGAAGCAGGCTCTGTGCTGACAGCAGACAGCCCGATGTGGGGCTTGAAATCACAAACCATGAGATCATGACCTGAGCTGAAGTCAGAAGCTTAATTGACTGTGCCACCCAGGTGCCCCGATTGTGCACAAAATTTTAAATTTAAGATTAAAAATTAGGGGTGCCTGGGTGGTGCAGTCGGTTAAGCGTCCGACTTCAGCCAGGTCACGATCTCGCGGTCCGTGAGTTTGAGCCCCGCGTCAGGCTCTGGGCTGATGGCTCGGAGCCTGGAGCCTGTTTCCGATTCTGTGTCTCCCTCTCTCTCTGCCCCTCTCCCGTTCATGCTCTGTCTCTCTCTGTCCCAAAAATAAATAAAAAACGTTGAAAAAAAAATTTTAAAGATTAAAAATCATATCAAGTGGGGCGCCTGGGCGGCTCAGTCGGTTAAGCATCCGACTTCAGCTCAGGTCATGATCTCACAGTTCATGAGTTTGAGCCCAACGTCAGGCTCTGTGCTGACAGCTCAGAGCCTGGAGCCTGCTTTAGATTCTGTGTCTTTCTCTCTCTCTGCCCCTTCCCCTGCTCTCTCTCTCTCTCTCAAAACTAAATAAACATTAAAAAAAAGAGTACATTAAAAAATTTTTTTGTGTGCACAATGACACTGTGCCTTTCAAACCTAAAGTGATAATTACATTGTACCAGGACCCAGGACACCTCAATCTGGTTCAGGTTCTGCCACTTATTAGCTGACTGCTCCTAGGCAAAGACTAAGCTCTTTAAGCCTGTTTTCCTACTGTAAATATTAACTACTGAATACTACAATTGTATCATATGTCAGGCACTGTGACACACACATTATACACATTATTGCACTTAGTTCTTACAAAAATCCTGCATGGAAGCTATTATTCCCCTAATTTTACCAATAAGGTAAAATAAGTGAAGCTCAGAGAAAGTGGGTGATATGCCTAAAGTCACACAGCTAGTGAGCAGCTGAACTGGAATCTGAACCTGGGTTTCTTCTCTCAAACTCCATGCTTTTAATCCCTAAACAATACTGCTTCTCTCACAGGATTGCTGTGAAGATTAAATAGATAATGTATATAAAACTGCCTTGTAAGGGTACTTGGGGGGCTCAGTCAGTTAAGTGTCTTGATTTTGGTTCAGGTCATGATCTTGTGAGATTTAGCCCCACATTGGGCTCTGTGCTAACAGCATGGAGCCCACTGGGGAGTCTCTCCCTCTCTGCCCCTCTGCTGCTCACAGGTACTCTCTCTCTCAAAATAAATAAATAGGGGTGCCTGGGTGGCTCAGTTGGTTAAGCATCAGACTTTGGCTCAGGTTATGATCTTGCAGTTTGTGAGTTTGAGCCCCACGTTGGGCTCTCTGCTTTCAGTGCAGAGCCCGCCTCAGATTCTCTGTCTCCCCTCACCCCCACCTCTCCCACGCTTGTGTTCTGTCTCTCTCAAAAACAAATAAACATTAAAAAAATTGTTTTTAAAAATTAAAACTAAATAAATAAACTTTAAAAAATGGCTTTGTTAAACTGTAAAGAGTTATTTAATTCAGTTCAAACCGAAGAGACAGGGATGACGTGGAAGCTCAACCTACTGAATAATATTTAAAATACACTTTATTTTTATCTTTTAATGTTTTATTTATTCTTGAGAGAGAGAGAGAGACAGAGCGTGAGCGAGGGAGAGGCATGGCCAGAAAGGGACACAGAATCCAAAGCAGACTCCAGGCTCTCAGCTGTTAGCACAGAGCCTGACGCGGGGCTCAAACTCACGAGTCGTGAGATGGTGACCTGAGCCGAAGTCAGACACTTAACAGACTGAGCCACCCAGGTGCCCCTATTTAAAATACACTTTAGCACAAGTAAACAGACCCCTCGCTTATGGCTATGTTGTCTATTATTTAAATTTTTTTAACGTTTATTCAGTTTTGAGAGACAGAGCACAAGTGGGGGAGGGGCAGAGAGAGGAGACAGAATCTGAAGCAGGCTCCAGGCTCCGAGCTGGCAGCACAGAGCCCAACACGGGGCTTGAACTCACAAACCATGAGACCATGACCTGAGCCGAAGTCAGCTGCTTAACTGACTGAGCTACCTAGTCACCCCTATATTGTCTATTATTTAACATATATTATGTTTTAGGGGTACCTGGGTGGCTCAGTTGGTTGAACATTCAATATCAGCTCATGTTATGATCTCAGAGATTGTGAGTTTGAGCCCCACATTGGGGTTGCAGCTCTCAGTGCACAGACTGCTTCAGATCTTCTGTTCCCCTCTCTCTGTCCCTCCCCAACTTGTACTCTCACTCCCAAAAGTAAATAAAACATCAAAACATATATATAATATTTTATACATACAGTCAGAATTCATTTTCACCACCAGCATCTTCAATTTTGGAAAGAATGATCTTTGAAAAAGGGGGCCTTGAGAACTTCTCAAATCATACCCTTGTACCAAGGACAGATTGTGTTTACTCATCTTCACCATCTATCAGTGAGTTACTCTAAGAGACTGCACTTAAGAGACAAACATTTGGGGGAGTCTGGGGAGCTCAGCTGATTAAGTGTCTGACTTCAGCTCAAGTCATGATCTCACGGTTTATGGGTTTCAGGCCCTTGTCCGTGCTGGCAGTGCAAAGCCTGCTTGGGATTCTGTCTTCCTCTCTCTCCCTCTGTCTCTTTTTTAATTTAGAGAGAGAGGGAGAGAGACAAATATTTGGAAAGAGTCCATATATTTTTTTAAGTATTTGAGAGAGAGAACAGGGGAAGGGCAGAGAGAGGGAGAGACAGAATCCCAAGCAGGCTCCACGTGGTCAGCGCAGAGCCTGACACGGGGCTCAATCCCACTAACCGTGAGACCATGACCTGAGCCAAAATCAAGTCCGACACTTAACTGACTGAGCCACCCAGGGTTTTGTAAAAAACTCACTCCTGTATCATCTGTTTCCACGTCCTTGAACAAAGTCTTTCCTCTGATTTTAAGGCCAACTTTAAAAACCAATTTTCATTTTTGGTTTCTTTCAAGATTTGGAAATGGCTAATAGCTGATATGCCTTCCATATCTGCATATCATTTAAAAAGCCCTCAACTCACTTCTATTTTTCCTTTCTCTCTTTTAAGTCCTACCCTTCATCAGGAGGACGGCTTTTAAAAGAACATATTAATTTTATAATGACACAAACGTGCACACAAAACAGAGGTGTGCTCCTTGCAGGAAATGCAGAAACAGACATCACTACTTTTAAAAACTGTAAGCACTGGGGCGCCTGGGTGGCTCAGTCGGTTGGGTGGCCGACTTCACCTCGGGTCATGATCTCACGCTCCATAGGTTCGAGCCCGCGTCGGGCTCTGTGCTGACAGCTCGGAGCCTGGAGCCTGTTTCGGATTCTGTGTCTCCCTCTCTCTGACCCTCCCCCGTTCATGCTCTGTCTCTCTCTGTCTCAAAAATAAATAAATGTTAAAAAAAAAAAACAAAACTGTAAGCATTACCTGGTTTAATTGCATAGACGTCAAAATTTTTTACTCCTTCTTCTCTTAAGATGTTTTCATCAATAATAAAGTTTCCTGTAAAACTTTTTGGCTTTTTAAAAATGGAATAGGCAGCATCTGCAATAATATCAACTTTTCTACACTGGCTTTCAATACCGGATCCTCCCAGCATGTCCATAGCAGCGGTGTGGATGGCTGTGGAGAGAGCAAATACACACACAGAGAACTCCAGATCAAACAATGGGGCTTCTGGAAGTAACAAACCAGACAGCTGATCTCTTTACTTCTCAGATGATGAAAATAAGGTCCAGAGAGCTTAACGGATTTGCCGAATGTTCTACTGACATAACCAGGTGGAAAACACATGTTCCTTACTCTTCACAATGCTGCCTCATACAATAGAATGGGTTCCTGAGACTCAGCAAAATTCAATTGGACTTCTGATTTAGAATGCTCAAGAATTTGCACAGGATTCCTGAAAGTTGAGAAAGCCAGGAGGGTATAACAGAAAAAGCACTGAGCAGTAAGTCAGGTGAGTGGGATTTTTAGGCCAACTATGTCAGGATTTTTGGCAAGTCACTTTAACATCTCTGGGCCTGTTTCCTAACTCTACAATAAGAAGCTCCTTTCCTAAGTTTATTATCTCGCCCCTCTATTAAAATACAGATATTTTGTTTCTGTCATTCATCAGGGTATTCCTCGTGGCTAAAACAATGACAAATGCATTATTAGCACTCAATAAATACTAGTTGGATTTTTGGTGGTCCCTTTTAAGTTCAGATACTTCCTTTAATACAGGAAATACTAGAAAATAGAGAAGCAAAAGGAAGAACTTAAAAATTATCTATAATTCCCCTAGCCAGAAATAATTACTATTAATATTTGCATACAGAGGCACCTGGGTGGCTCAACAGGTTAAGTGTCAGACTTTGGCTCAGGTCATGATCTCATGGTTCGTGGGTTCAAGCCCCGCTGTCAGGCTGACAGCTCAGAGCCTGAAGCCTGCTTCAGATTCTGTGTCTCCCTCTCTCTCTGTACCTCCCCCACGTGTGTACTCTTTCTCTCTCAAAAATAAACATTTAAAAATTTTTTAAAAATTTGCATACAATTTTTACTATTTTAGCTGCATATAATTTTTAAATTCTGTGTTTATGAAGTAACTTGAAACTCTACCATTAATAGTACACTATTAATTATACATTGTCAAAATTGTGAACAGTAACTTACCTCAATTTACTTACATTATCTTAGCTTATATTTAAAGCAATGAAAGTCAATTTGTTTAAATGTACTTTAGGTTTCAGGGTTTCTAGTAATTCAGATAAGGTTCTCTCCATACCATTGCCGAACCATTATTTTAAATCAATACACACTGGAAGAACTTACATAAGTCAGTCCATAAGATAAAAACTTTGTAGCTTTTAATAGCCACTGACCCCTTTACATTCATTCAACATATAGTTATCGAGCAATAAGTCAGGCATTATTGTAGGGATTGGGGACAAATGGGTTGATAAAATAGACAAAAGTTCCTACCTTCATGGTGATTACCTTTTAGCATACACCTTTACTACTAAGACAACACAATCAACTTGGGGAATTTCCAAAAGCACAGAGTTAGGAAATACATCCTGTTCCTATCTTGTAAGTATGGTTTCTTACTAGGAAGAATTTTTTACTTAACCAATAACTCAAGAGCTCTGGTCTTGCTCTTGGTGTGACACTTCATTAATAAAAAATCACAGCTAATATTTATTAAATGTGGCCTATGCTGGGCATGCTGCTACAGACTTCACATACATTATCTGAATGAATTCTGTGAGGTCCGTACTGTTATTCCCATTTTACAGATGAGAGCACTCATGCACAGAGGAGTTAAAAGATTACAGGAGCTAGGGTTCAAACATCTGCCAGCTTGATTTCAGAGCCAGGATCTTAACCATCAAGAGACTAAAGGGTCATACTTTGTAAACCAACATGCTTAGAGTTGGTTTACACCATTCTCACTCCCATAAACCACAGAATTTTATTTTTTTAGAGAGAGAGTGTGTGCAAGCAGGGTAGAGGGACAGAGGGGGGGGAGAGAGAGAGAGAGAGAGAGAGAGAGAGAGAGAGAGAAAGAATCCTAAGCACGCTCCATGCTCAGTGCAGAGCCCGATGTGAGGCTCAATCCCACGACCCTGGGATCATGACCTGAGCCAAAATCAAGAGTCAGATGCTCAACCAACTGAGCCACCCATGTGCCCCAAACTGTAGAATTTTTCTAAAAATATTTCAGGGCGCCTGGGTGGCTCAGTCGGTTAAGCGTCCGACTTCGGCTCAGGTCATGATCTCACGGTTCGTGAGTTCGAGCCCTGCGTCAGGCTCTGTGCTGACAGCTCAGAGCCTGGAGCCTGCTTCGGATTCTGTGTCTCCCTCTCTCTGTGCCCCTCCCCTGTTCATGCTCTGTCTCTCTCTGTCTCAAAAATAAATAAAAAACATTAAAAAAAATTTTTTTAATAAAAAAATTAAAATATTTCAATATAGGGGTGTCTGGCTGGCTCTATCTGGAAACCACACGACTTTTGATCTTTAGGTCATGAGTTCAAGCCTCATGTTGGGTGCAGAGATAATGTAAAAATAAATAATTTTTTCAATACGGTGCACCTTAAGTCTATATGCATATGTATATACTCTAGTCTCAGTGTAGACTATATGAATGGTATAAGAATTCTTAAAAGCTTTAATTAAAAGTATGTCATGGATGTATACATGTGTTGTGTGTATTCATATGTATAGACACACACACCACATAAGAACAATGAATGATTTCTCCAAGCAACCTATCTTTACTTCAGTAATATTTCTAAGGAAGATACAAAGGCACATACACTCACAATCAGGAAATAAGCCAGAGTTATTCTCAGCAAAGGTTTTGCAATGTCGTAGGCTAACCTAATAGGTCATAAAACTGACAACAATAGAAACAGGTTAACAATAGGATACAACAAATGAAATTCACTGATGATTCCTGGGAAAGAAAAAAAGCACAAGTTTTAACGAAAGCTGATATGCCTTGGATTACAAGAATCCTAAAGGTGAGCCTAAAACTTAAGTATTATTAAGGAATAATTAAAAATATATCTAATAGCTTCCAATTGATACTCCATTTAAAACACACAGTAACAAGTCTTCGTATCAACCAAAGATTTCCTTTCACATAAACATATAGAGTACATATCAGACTTAAAATATCAGCATTGCCTTTGACTCCTTCTCTGGAAAGAAAGTTTGTCTCACCTCTGAAACACCTGCTAGCCACCACACACACACATATTCTTTGGGTACTCACTGAACCAAAGATACCACTGATTATAAAGTGTTCCGCTAAGAAACAAACCACCTGCCAATAACCTATTGCACATCATTAATAGTAAGAGCAGCCTGATATCAAAGATGTAAAAACATGAAAACACGGGCATCTCAGAATCAATGAAATATATATAAACTGCTATTTAAACAAGTTGGTAAGCAAGCCCCTTAAAAAACAAGGAAACTAGTTTCAGTTTCTAGGACCAGAGAGGCCAGCTGCCACTTTATTACCCTGACCTCCGTGGTTAGCGGAGTTACCACGCCTGTACGTAGCGTGGTCCAGGTGGCAGAGGCCTGCAGCTGCTCTGTGATACATCTGTTATCTTCCACTCGGCTGCCAGTACCAAGATCGGTGGCTGGATGCCCAGACTCCTCACCCCAGCCCACATGCAATCCTTCCCGAAGTGGACCTCCCTCTTCCACCACACTTGTTCTGACCAGCCAAGAGGTCAGAGGCAGCAGGCATTTTGAATGGCAGCTCTTCTCCCTCCTGCCTTCCCCACCCTCCACTTCAACAGAAACTATGAACTAAGTCTTGTAAAAAGACAAACTTCTGAAGGTGACCTAGTTGGGGCTTGAGATCCTCATGTTGTTCAACCACTCAGGGCTATTCTCTGATCCCTTCTCTGGATGTGTTGAATTCAGTGGGGTGAAAAGTTCTAAACCCAGAAGGGGGATTGTAGCCGGTTCAGAGAAGAAACACTGAGCCAGAGAGGACAAAGAGTGGACCAGGACACAGTTTAGATTGTAGACAATGTATGTTACACTGTATCTCTTCCATTAAGTGTCATAAATCTCCTTTTCCTTGAAGGGAATAATGCTGGGAGATTACTTCTGGTTCCAGCAAGCATAGAGAGCCGCTCTACACAGTCTAGGAAGAGAAACCATGTTTTTGAAATAGAGGCCTCACAAACAGCCAGGAGCCTGGACACCCTCTTGAATCCATTTTTATTGCCTCAGTTATGAATAATGCAACATCCTAGCTAGCTTTCCAGCCTCCTCTCTCCATAATCTTACAAGCCATCCTATATTCAGATGCCAAATTAAACTTCTTAAACCTCATCAGCAACCACATCACTCTACTGCTCCTATTTTCCCTCTGCTCTCCTGCTTCTCAAATTCTAAAGTGGCTCTCTATTGAATACAAGTTAGAATTCAAGCCCCTAAATTTGGCAATCAAGACCTGGGGCTTAGCTCAAGCTCCTCCCCCCACCACCTCACACCTACCCAACAATCAAGACAACTGCCCAAGTCCAGTGGGAAATAAAAAGCTCAGAGCCTATCACATATACATCATTATCAAATTCCTTGACAGTTCCACCAAACACACGGTATTTTCCCATACCATGGCCTTGGTTGTTCCCTCTGCTAGGAATGCCTTGCCCAATGTTCCTTCTTGCTAATTCCAACATCCCCCTCAGGTCCTATTCCGATCAATTACTTCTATTAGAACACCTCTTTTCCTGACCTTTAAACGTGAGCTACATGGCCCTCCTGCTCTCTTTCAAAAGTATCCTGTACACAATCCCATCATGCCACATATCACAAGGTACATGACTGTAAATTCACCTTACTGTGCCATCAAGTCTAGGCTAAAAAAAATAATACCAATGGTTCTAAGTTGTCTGGTAAAACTTCTAAAATGAACATCTCAGACCTAAAACAAAGATGTTGGCAGTGAGCTGATTTCTCTTGCCAATCCTGGTGGCGACCTCCACATTCTCTGTCATGCAGTATTCTGTTTGGAGCTAGGCAGAAGGTAATCATACTGTACATTCATTAACTCATCAAATATTTACTGAATGTTTACCATGACTACAGTAAAATGAGCAAAGCAGATTCTG